CTGCTAAAAGAGGACAACATGGCAACTACGTTCGAAAGAAAAAGTGAGGGAAGAGACCGACCTACCAAGGGTTCGAGCTGCCTTCAGATCGAACTCCAAGAATTTAGGGAACGTAAGGTATGACCTGAAGGATTGGGGGCATTTATAGCCCGTCGGAAAAATTTCCCCACCGTACACGTGTAATCAACGAGCGGCTAGGATCCTCGGAGTGCTCACCTTTTTGTGCAGGTCCGCCCAAGTATTCAGGTCGGTCCGAAGGCCGAGTTCGAGCTGCAATCTGGAATACACTGTTGTGCATATCCTTGCATAAATAGGAGGCAAGGAGGTACTTATTAAGAGTATAGGTCAAACCATTCTAACCATTCTGATGGGTGTTTTTCGCCTTCCAAAAACTTTGTGTGAGGATATTAAAAAAAATTTTGCTAGGTTTTGGTTGGGCTGAACTGAAAATAAAAAGAAAATCCATTGGATGAAGTGGGAGAAGCTCTGTCTTCCTAAAGAGTTCGGGGTTTAAACTTCCGAGATTTAGAAGGTTTCAATAAAGCTATCCACCACCTACGCGGAGCATTCTTAACGAAAGAGGGGTTGATATTCTCCTACATCTATCTTCGGTGAAAATCATGCCTCTTATCATCAAGACCTCCCTAGGTGTTCTTGTTCTCGATGAAAATCGAAAGATCCTTTATGCGTTGGCGAGTTTTGTTGCGGTTGGTTTTTCCCCTTTGCATACCGAGCTTTTGGCCATCAAAGAGGTGTTTCGTTTGGCTTTACGAGCTGGGTTCTCTAAAGTTTTGCTGGAATCCGTTCAGTTGCTCAAATTCTGGGCAAAATGGAGTTGTTGATTGCAGATATCTGTGGTCTCCAAGGTTGTTTGGCGAGTAGCATCTTCCGTCATGTTAGCCATAATCTAAATGTGGGGCTCACACGCTTGCGAGATTTGCTCTTTCCACTTCTTCGAGTTGTTTATGGAGTCGTGATTTTCCATTGTGGGTCTTTGACAACAATGCATCAATTTTTTTTATTTATTTTATTATTATATCTAAAATTTACTTAAATGCATCCTAAAAAAAGTTTTCGACCTAATACAACCAAAAAAAATTTTAAATAAAATATATCAAATTTTATTAATAATCTTTCTTTTGTAGGCTGCATAAAATCAATCATTTTTTAAATATTATTTATTATATATTTTTTATATAAGTAGCGACAAAATCAATCTCTCCTCAAGAACAAGAACAATTGAAATTTTACAAAATACTAAAAAACAAAAATGCAAAAAATTTAAAGCAAATATTATATTATATTGAAATTTTAACGTGACTTCACAGATGTTTAAGGTTTTCAATTTTAAAGTTATTAATGGATTTCAAAATTTAACCTTATTTATGACATGTGTATTTATTATAATTAGTTTTTTTTATTTAAATGTAAAAGATTTAATGTTCCAAATTTGATTGTCTAAACCGCAGCAAATCAATTATTTCCATAATCCTCATCCCAATTATGGTTGGATTTAACTACATTTCAAATTCAAAATTTTGTTTAATTTTTGGTTGCTCTATTTTTATTTATCGTCGGCCAATTGAGTTCCCATGCTTCATCCATTTCTATTTTTGGATTCTTTTGTCTTCAAATTTCATCTAGCCAACTAAATTTTTCGGCATTAAAAATTCTATTTTACCACAAATTCAACTTCAAGTTCCTACTGCATCAATTTCATTACAATATTCGAAACATGGTACGATTGGATGTTATTGTTTTAAAAATATAGTTTATATATATATACACACACACACCAAGTCGAGATGAATACTATATGGTAGCGACAGGARATTCTTTGGCACTGAATCCAGGTATTCAAGAACAGATTGTTCCAGCTCGATAGCGTCAAGAATTCTTGACTATTGAATGGGAACAAGTTCATCTTCGAAGTATTTTTCCCTTCCAATATTTTTCTATTGGAGCTTCCCTCATTCCTTTTATCGAACATAATGATGCAAATCGTGCTTTAATGAGTTCTAATATGCAACGTCAAGCAGTCCAGCTTTCTCGATCCGAAAAGTACATTGTTGGAACTGGGTTGGAACACCAAGTGGCTCGAGATTCAGGGGTTGTCGCTATAGCCGAACATGGGGGGAAAATCATTTATACCAATACTGATAAGATCCTTTTTTTGGACAATGGGTATACTAGAAGAATTCCATTAGTTATGTATCAACTTTCTAACAAAAATGCTTGTATGCAGCAAAAAAACCCAGGTTCACCAAGATAAATACATTAAAAAAGGGACATAAAGGTCTTTATGACACAATCAATAATTCGCTTCATTTTCAATTAGGCCTTGCTTTGGGTTATTATTTCCTTGGTAGCTCAACACATGTACTCTTTACCTGCTTATGCGTTCATAGCACAAGACTTTGCAGCTATATACCCATCACCAATACATAGCAGATTCATTATGACAGGAGCTTTTGCTCATGGAGCTATATTTTTTTTATCAGAGATTACAATCCAGAATAGAATGAAAATAATGTATTGGCAAGAATGTTAGACCATAAAGAAGCTATCATATCCCATTTAAGTTGGGCGACCCTTTTTCTGGGGTTTCATAATTGGGACTTTATGTTCATAATGATGTCATGCTTGCTTTTGGTACTTCGGAGAAACAAATCTTAATCGAACCCATATTATATATATATATATATATATATATATATATATATATATATATATTTCCTATTATGCGTTCAATTTTGTTCATGTTTTTTTTCGTTAATTCATTTTATGTTAATGTTATATATAAGTAAATGACGATGTCGATGAAAACGTCGAGGTCCCGATTTTACGGACATGTCGATTGATATTTCGACAAAAAACACAGAAATTACAAATATTGATACAAATTTTTTGAATTAGTAAATGAGACTTTAATTGTTGTTTAATTAGTCTATAACTAATTACTTGTAACTATCATATCTAAATATATAAGTAATATATTTATGGAAATGTCGTTGTGATTAAAACGTCGAAACAAAATCATGTATACGTTTCAATTAGTAAATTAAAGTTTAATATTGCTTCATTATGTTTTGTTCATCTTTGCTTCATTATGTTTTGTTCATCTTTTCTAATCAAATCTAGTATATATAAAGGATGAAATAATTTTTATATAATCAATTTCTTTAAGATTTTGTTAGATATTTTAAAGTTAAATTTAATTTAGAGTTTTTTTAATCAATTTTTTATAGTTAAATTTAATTTTTGGTTAAAAATAAATTTCTTGATTTGTTATAGACATTGAAACTCAGCGTCCTTCATCTCTGTGAATAAAAAAGATTTAAATAAATTTAATTCCCAAAACTCCAATTTCCAAATCCGCTCCACACAGCAGCAAGAATAGGAAAAGAGAGCGGAAGCAAAATGGGTCTCCCCTCAACAAAAAATCCAAATCCACCGAAGACTCACCTCCGTCATTGGCCCAACATAAGGAGGAAATAACTATTTTGAAAACAAGCTCTTCTCTCTTTTTTTCTTCAGATTAAATAAGAAAAAAAAAAGCCGATTCAAATTAAACAAAAAATCAAGTCAAAATTAAAACTGTGATCAAGAAATACCAATTTTCCTTCACCTTAAAAATAACAACAACAATAATAAACGTGGCAAAATAGCCGCCCTCCCTCAAAAGAGACTTGCATTCAAGATGGGTCAGAAAGAGAATCGGCACGCGAAGAAGACAGCCAAAAGGCTAATATCGAAGCCACTGCGGATACGAACGGTAGAATCAAAGGCTGACAGTCAAGATCATGGTGAAATTGATGTTGGTCGATTTTTCAAACTATGTGTACTTTTGAAAATCCACTATTATTAATTATATAATTAACATATTGTATATACGTTTTTTAACATATCATGTATTATCATACAATATGAACAATGATTAGGTAAATATTTTCAATATTTTAATTTTAGTTTATATATATATATATATTTTCTTTTTTTGTTTCTTAGCTATTTTCATTAATTTCATTTTATATTAAAGTGGTATACAAATACTTATTATAGGATATAACATACATACTTTGTACTTTTGAAATCAAATATTATTATGGATATAATGTACTTTTGAAAATATCATGTAGGTAGCATTCTATTCTCATGTGCATGCTTCATTCATAGTGGATAAACGGAGAAGATGGAGTGACGTTGTGTCCGAAAAAAATGGTAAGAATAACAATAAAATAAACTTAAACTCATTACAAGTAATTTTTTATTATTATACGTTTGTGATGGTTTTAATTTAAAAATACACTAGCATATCATCTAATATTATATAATCAATTCAAGAATATAGAAATTCGGAGGGGTAAATTTTGAGAGGAAAGTTAGAGAGTTTCTAGGGATGAGAGAGATTCAGAGAGAAGACTAAGATTAAAGAGGCACATGCCAAAAAAACACAAATGGTCTCTTAAACTTTTGTTAAAGAGATGATTTGATCTGAACTTCCGAAACGATTTAGTCTAAATTGTTAACAATTAAATCTCTACCATAAAAAACTAGAAATGTGACGTGATTTGTACATGTGTACAAATTAAATTGCCTAACTGTACAAGTTGGCAATATTGAATCAGATTCAAATTTTGATGGTTTACGACTCTAAACCTTCAAAAAAAAAAAANTAGCCCTCCCCCACTTTCCATGACCCTCTCAGCCCATTCTCCTGCACCGTATCATTATCAAAAATCTTGAAATTAAATAGTTTTATTTATGTTTTACATTACATACAGTTCATTTGAATCAAATTAGTAAACTATATCAAAATATTAAACAAAAGAAGACGAAATTGCAAACAAACTAATTTATTAGAAAACCAAAAACCAAAGGAGAGAGAAGATGTTTATGAATATGTCTGAAAACATATATGAATTAACATGAATCCTGATTACATTATCAAAAAAAGAAAAAAAAAATCATGAACAATGTTGAAACATAGAGGAAATAAATGAGTAGGCCCTAACAAGTATGATTTTATTATCAAAATAAATCGCCATAACCGGCTTGGCCAAAAAATTGTGGCAGATAAGTTCACACAAACAACCTACTAATGGGATGAACTCTGCAAATCATCATATCAAGTGCAGCGTGAAGAATAAGAATACAATGAAGAAAAAGGAAGTCTTGTGGTTTCACAAGACAAGTCTGAGTAACACAGAATTACTTTGTTTGTATGGCATCTCCAATTTTCATCTAATACTCCTCATCAATGTATGTTTCTTATTTAAAGACAAAAAAATTTCTAGATTGGTAGAAGCAGAATATCACTCACTAAGCGCAGTTGATTCCTTCAGGTACGCAATAAGGTCGGCACGTTCATTCGGTTTCTTCAGCCCCGGGAAAACCATCTTCGTTCCAGGAATATACTGTGTCATCCCAAATTTTTGTTAGAATATCTAGTAAAGAAAGAGCAATTGAGCACTGGGATTGGTACAAGAGGTCCCAACAAAATTCATAAAGCTCATTGGTGATGGTAGAGATTTTGGGGCTTTCTTTCTAGTGTTTGATAAATTATGGTGTGATCTGAAAATTTTTTTATTTATTGTCCTTTTCTGGAAGAAATTTCATAAGAGTAAGACTAAGTAGATTGATTGAAGCAGAAACAAAATTCACACCAAAAAAAGAACTACAAAAAATATATATATGTGGGGTTAGCAAGTTCGTTCCTTTTGGAAGAATTTCAAAACTTGTTCACGGTTCCATAAAGTAATTGCAGAAAAAGTTAAATATTTGTAGTAAAAAATAATTACATTAAAATTAAGGTTTGACAATGGTATTTAAAACATTTTAAATATTACTTACTAATTACATAGAGAGAGATTATCTAAGTACAGATACGAGCACAACACAGTGACTCAATAGACACAACGAGGACACATTTATTAAAATAAACTTTTTTTTTAAGTATATAACATTTTAGTACCAAAAGAAATTAAAAGTCAATAAGTGTATTCATTTATGCTTAAAAAGATGAGTTTAACATGTTTCGCTCTCAAAATTTATTATTTTGCCCAATATTTATGTTCATTTCTTAGGCTTAACAATCGTTGATACATGCCTAAAAAGAGTCAGGAACTATATTCATTTTGAACAACTAATGTGTGACACACATCTATTAAGCTAACAAGTGTCCAATAAGTGTAACACAAACACGTTACCCAAATTGAGGTATCCATGCTTCTAAGGATGTTATGATGCTTTTAATCAAACACATTTCTCTTCTTCATGTTAAATTTGATATATAATTATACTTTTTGTATTTTAAATGATTGATATACAAACTATGTAAATCTCTCGCTACCATTCCCGAACCCAAAAATGTACAGGTTAAACAAGCAAAACCTCATTTCTCTCCACAATTGAAATATAGTTGTACGAACCCAAATTTCTTTAATTTAATCTCCTAACACGAGCTCTAACAAATCCAAACATAAGAATCCATAATTTAACAAACCCAAACAAAATAAAAAGCCAAACATGCCTAAAAGATTGTTCTCTGTTATAAGCTACGAAAGCCGAAAAGAAACCATCACACATTGAAGGACGAATCCTTCCCACTTAAAGAAGGATGGCCTTCAAGGAATAGAGAAACAAGGAATTAATGCTGGAAGGGAGGAAGGTCATGACCAACCAAATCTGAGCATTAGTGAGACCACAAATTACCAAAAAAGGAGCAAACAGTGAAAACGCGACCGACCTGGTGAAATATAGCTCTAAGGACACTTTCTTAATGACATTGGGAGTGTTTATACTTCCATGTTAAGAGTTCCAACAAAGAGAATTCACTTGGCTTCTAAGTGAAGAGAGCAGAGCAAAAGAAGCGCCACAATTTTCCCACCAACCAATGTCATTGAAATTTGACAGTAAACAAGGATTTCCAATGAAAGGAAGCCCTAAAGGCTCATGTTGAAACTTTCGTACAGCCACACAAAGAAGCTAAGTAATCAGAGGAGGAATCACAATTAATGCTGAGACGTTCAGATTTACAACACATTACGTTAATTCTCGAAGAATATAGATATGTAGGCAGGGATTTAGTAACAGAAAGCCTATAAGTTACAAGAAGCTAACTGTGTCGCAAGACCTGTATGGGATTAATTTATGCCCTTAAAAACGAAATGTCCAGCTACTTCAATGAAAATCTGAACACTAGATACCACGGGCAAATGATTTACCACACGTTATGTTGAAACCAGAATGTTCTCAAAAGCATGGAAGACCTGAAGTTAACCATTTTATGGGGGATAGATTAAGGTAAGAGATTATCCATTAAGAGACTTTCAAAGCAATTGGGAAGAATTTGTCAAGTCGAATGTGTGCCAAAAAAAAAACTAAAAAAAACCCAAAAAAAAAAACTATTGACATGCTTGATTGTTAGAAGCATATTTATGTAAGAGGCAATTTTGTGGGGTTCGAACATCCAAGTGGAGGAAGACTTCTGACGCAAGTAGTGTTGACCATTCTTCAAAACTTTTGGCCAGTATAGTAGAAAAGGTCAATGGATTTTTTCAATTGAGACCACTCAAAAATGTTTAAAAAAATCAATATATATGCCTCAAATGGGGAAGATGGTAAAAGGTGAGCAGGTTGATTTAAGTGTGCAAAAGATTTCAACAATTGGGGCTCAGTTGGAGCAGTATTATAAAGAACAGGTAGTTGTTTAAGAGATTGGAAGAGATTTGCAGGCTGAATACACATGGTGCGGAAAAATGTAGGAAGAACTGGACCATCTCATTGGAGGATCAAAAATGTATTGGGAAAAGTCATCAAAGTTATAAAAAATAGGTTTCAAAAAGGATCATAATGAAAATTTCAAGGTTTGAATAGACTCGACAGCAAATTAAATTCTCTAACCAAAAATTCGATTAAGGTTGGGTGATTATATATTACAGACAAACGAGAGATGAAAAAGTGAAGTTTTTAAGCACTTGAGGGTTTTAACTTTTCAGATAACATTATTAATTCTAGTGTCAGTGGTTCTATTGAATAATATGGTGGTGCAATGTTCTAAAAGAAAAGAGGTTGAAGAGTTTAGGTTCAAAGATTTTGATGGTTCAACCAGAGTTAGTAATCAAGACATAAAGTGCACCGTATTTGAATTTAAAAAGTGAAACAGGTGGATGCTTCGACATTTGAAAGTTGTTCAAAGATACCGTAGGACCACTTCTTCAGAAAGTATAAGCTCTTGTTTAAAGTGTTAGATTAAAGAAACGCCCTGGAGGGGCTCATTACCTATTTGAAGAAACAAGGTGTGTATTTAACACAAATTCTTGTCAGCATAAAAGAAGGTATCTAAACGTAGGAATAATTCAAAAGTCGCAGAAAGTTAGTTACATTGATTCTGAGGTAAACTACAATAAGAAAAAAGCATGAGCAAACACTTAGATGTTTTAGACGTTCTCAATTAAATCTTTCAAGTTTTGGTTTGATGAGGTGGTTACCATCAAAACCTTTTTACTCTTTCTTCTTTCAGGCCTCCAAAGAATCTTTAAGTTCTTATCCTATGCATTCACTTTTCGAGGGGCTTTAGTTCGGGATATAAGACTTCTTTGTTGTAACATGATTTCTTTTCATACTTTGAGGTGCTTCAATGCCATACTTCTAAAGGAGCCTCTTTACAACAAGAATAATTTTTCAAGCAACAATGAAAACCAAGATGTTAGATTACATGATAAAATGCAATTTCCAGTCATGGTATCATGTCAGTTTTTCAGAAGTTCTCCGTTTCTTTATTTTTTATTTCTTCAGAACGTCTCTACTGGTAGCAACTGAAAAATGCAAGAGTGCCTACTTGGGTGTGTGTTCCCAATAATATCACCGAATCAAATGAACAATCAAAAAATTTGGGAAAATATCACAAGGAAACAAACCAACTTCAAATCGATCAATATCATAAGTTCACAAGTGACAGAAAATACAAAGAATTTACCTTCTTAGGGTTAAGCAAGTAGTCATACAACGTCTTTTCTTCCCAAATCACGGCCATATTCTTGTTGGCAGCAGAATATGAGTATCCAGGAGTTGTACCCGATTGTCGTCCAAATAGCCCATTCAAATTAGGACCTGCAAGATTCCATGCGACATTGCTCATCATAATTTGATAAAAAAAAAATAGTATCAAAATAGCAGAGCTAAACAAACTGCACATATTAGTGATTACGATCAATCATCACGGTTAACATTAATGAATGATTGCAATATAATCAATGGCCAGGCTATCCCATCGAATACAAACACACTAATTTATCATTAATATCACAAGTAATGAATGATCAATAAGTTCTGAAAAATGACTATATCAAATTAATCTTTCGAAGATATGCTATGTTTGTAATTACTTCAATACATTTATAACTATTTCTAAATATTTTTAAAAATCATATCATCCAAACAAAATTCCAAAAAAGAGTAATAGTAAGAACAACATGTATCTTTGGAGGGGTTTCCTTCTCTGAAAAGGACAAGGAATCCATAGAAAGTTTGTGGTAGAGGCCGAGAATAAGCATTAGTTCGTTGAAATCGTTGACAAACGAGAGAGACAGATCAGATCGAATAACCCCAACGAAAGATCTCCAGAAAATGATCTCCAATCGCAAGAAATAGAAACACATAGATAAGAAATGATGATACAGAGAGAGAGAGAGAGAGAGAGAGAGAGACCTTGTTTGTGACCAGCTCCTTTGTCGACGGTGTGGCACTGAGCGCATTTGGTCTTGAAGATCTTCTCTCCGGCTTTGGGATTGCCGGGAGGAGCTTCGTCAAAGCTGGCCATGGCGTCGGAATGAGGTCTGTGTTCAAGATCTGAGGGCGGGCTAGGGTTCGGTTCGCAGTTTCTCGAGCTTTCTCAGTATTTTACTTCCTTTTATACCAGCGTACCGCACAGGGTCTTCTTTGTCTTTTTCCTTTTTTACTTTTTCCTTCTAAGTCGGCGTTCGCGTTCCTAACACAACCACCGGCACCGCACGTTTCATAATACGTGGCAACAATTGTCTCCCTTCCTTTTCTAATTTCCCTTTTTTCTGTTTTTTTTCTCTGAAGTCTTAACATCAAAATATTTTCTTTTAAATATTTTCTTTTAAATATTTTCCTGTATCGTTTTTTTCTCCTTTTTTTTTGTTGGTAAACTACAAAAATACTCCTTTACTTTATCATTTATCTATACTACTATACCGTATATAAATAAGGTTACCGAAGAGAATTTTATCTTCTATTTTTGTCATCAACCTTTTAATACATACATATTTTATACTTTAAATTTCTAGGGGATACGATTGTTCTGATTGATGATAAGAGTAGTTAATCCAAAAATGTTGATATTAAGAGTAGTTATTGTAATGCCCCGTAATTTTTTTATGATATTTTAGTAGTTTAAAGGCATAAACTAGATTGTTTATGCAAAGGATCGCACAACACCGTTTAACAAACCAAGCTCGAACCCGTTCTTCAGCTCGACCTGAACTAAAGAGTGAACCTGCACAAGAGGGCAAACCCTCCGACGCTCAAGTCAATGTAGGTCGGACTCAATATTAAGTTCGAGGTGAGATTCGATACCTGAGCATGAAATGAGGCCCTCTATTTATAGGTGGTGGGTCCGACAGTACTCACGACCGGCGGTTATCTGTCTTTTCTCATGTCGAACATGTCGGGTTTTTGAGCAGATCAAACCCCAATCAGGTCGAACCTCGGCTTCTACACTTAGCCTTTTTCATATACAAACTTGGTCTCATCGGCAGGTTCGAGGTGGACCTATAATATTCTTTTACTTATTTTTGAACACCACTGAGCGTCCTCCACGTGTCCATAGCATTTTTCCCCCAAGCATTGGCCCCCTCTTTGCCAGGTTCGATCTCGATCTGGCAGAGAAGTTATTTGGTTCAAATTAGGACACGTGGCGACTTCTGGTTTGTGGTGCAAATATGACCGTTGTGGAAGCGGAATATGTTCCAGCCTGACAGGCTGTCGGAGCACTCAAGTATTCCGGCGTTAAGAAATTCCGAGACGATCCCAGCCGCTCATTTGTTACACGTGTACGGTGCAGAGACTTTCCCGGTTTGCTATAAATAGTTCTCTATCTTCAGGTCGCTTCCTGAATTTCTGGAGTTCGACCTGAAATTAGCTCGAACCCTTTGTAGGTCAATAGTTTTCCTTGCTTTAATTCTTATCTTCAACTATGGTAGTTTTCATGTCGTCTTCTTCCAATAGTGGTAGCTTAGGTAGCGCAGGTCGGACAATAAGCAGTTCGCCCCCTCAGCCAAGTGATTTTGGGGAGGACTTAGCTCGTAGGTTAGAGTTCGAACTGGAAGAGGTTGAGAATTTTAGGTTTTTCGATGATGGGGAAAACAGTGGGGCTTCCACCTCGGGCCAGGGTTTGGAATACCCTTCAAAAATGCCCGAGCACTATCTCGGACCCCTTCATAGGGGGTTTAAAATTCTGGATGACATCCTCCTTAGAATTCCGGAGGAAGGGGAAAGAGCTGACAACCCTCCAGAGGGGTGGGTCACTCTTTACTTGAAAATGTTCGAGTACGGCCTCAGACTTCCTCTTCACCCTTTTGCCCAGGAGTTCCTAAACCGAACTGGACTAGCTCCTACTCAAGTGGCCCCCAATGGATGGGGTGTCATTTTTGCCTTGGCCATCCTCTCTGGTTACGTGCTCGGGACGAGGACGAGGCCGAGCTGCTGAACGTTGAACAACTTCTTGGGTGCTTCGAAGTCAAGAGAATAGCTAAGAAGCCAGGTCGGTACTATATATGCGCAAGGAAAGGCGTAGGTGGAATAGTTAAGGGGTCAACCTCTATCAAAGGATGGGTGAGGAAGTGGTTCTTTGCCTCTGGAGAATGGCTGGCAAAGGACGAGTCTGGTCGTCCATTCTTTGACGTTCCCATTAGGTTTAGGAATTTATGTATGAGGTCGTTCGTGTTTTCTTTTTGTAGCTTTAAGTCTTTCAACTCTCTTGCTTCTCCTATCTAACTCGAACTATTCTTTGTCTCGTGCAGTGTCAATCAGACCAATTCCCGAGCTTACTCAAGCTTCCTTTGATACTCTTAAGTATTACAATGATCGTTTTCCAAAGGGCAGGAAGATCGGAACCCTGGTGACCGACAAGCTGCTTCTTGACTCCGGGTTGTTAGATTACAACCCTTTGGTGCGTCCGATCGAAGCTTCAAGGCCAAGGTAAGTCGTGCTCGACCTCAATTTTGAATTTGGTTTTCCGACCTCGATTTTTGACCTTTTACTTGTTTGTTTTGCAGCAATGGTGTGCAGATTCTCCAGCAGCTTGAAGCGTAAGTCTAAGGGTCGTGCTCACGCCCTCAAGACTGTCCTAAGCACGGAGCCCACAACTTCTACTGCCGCTCAACCTTCAGCTCAGGACAATGCTGGGCAATCCGCTGAGCTTCCCATTCTAGTGACCGAGCTGGACTCTGTCGGGGAGCACTCCAAAGAGAAGCGCCCAAGGAATGAGTCTGAGGCACTGGACATATCTCCCCTGAACAAGGTGAGAGGAGAGTCTCCTTTGAAGAGGAGAAGGAAGAAGAAGAAGACCACCTCCTCCTTCGAGGTCGGATCTCGTGGGTCCCTGCCCACGAGCCATACTGATTTGGTGGAAGACCCCGAAGCTAGGATGAGGGGGACGTCCGATGTGCCAATGCGGTTCTGGGTTGAACCGTCGAGCTCCGGGGTGAAGGACCAGGTGTCCCGTTGAAGGGATATGGATCCTGGAGCGGAAACGGATTTTTGTTGCTGATTTTCGGGATATAAAATCGAATTTCAAAAATGAAAATACAGAGGAAACTCAAACCTTTGAAGAACTTTTCTTCAGTGAATTCCCCTCGAACACCACCACCGGATCTTCCTCGCTATCCTCTTGGGTCTCGGGATCGTGCTTGTGGTAGCACCTTGATAGAAGAGAGGGAGAGATCAAGAGAATTTTTTAGAGAGCTCTGGGAGTTTTTTTTTTCTCTTGGTTGTGTTCTGTTTTCTTCAACCATCGAAGAAGAAGCACAATGACGTGGGGTAACTCCCCACGTCACAGCAACCCCCCACTCCCCTGCAATTTTGCAGGGGAGTTAATATTAATAATAATATATATATATATATATATATATATATGTATAATATATAATAATAATTAAAAAAATATATATTTTAATAAGAATAATAATATTAATATATATAAAATATATAATAATAATTATAATATATATATATAATAATATATATATATATAATAATTAATATATAATAATTAATATATATAATTAATTAATCAAATTAATTAATATAATTAATTATTAATCCAATTAATAATTAATAAATATATATATACATAGATAGTTAACACTTAATTATTTATTATAAAATTAGAATCATATTCTAAAACATTTCTCTCGTATAACCTATAGTTTTAATATGAATCTCATTCATATTAATTTTATTTGAATCTCATTCAAATAATATCTCTCATAATATATAGTTTTAATTTACAATTAACTATATATATTATAATGTATCAATATACA